GGGGACACATGGGGACACATGAGGACAGCAGCTTGGTGGGGTGGCCTCTAAGGAAAGGCGCATTGCCCACACCCAAAATGCCCCTTTTCCCCATCAAAAGACCCATTTCTTCCCCCTGCGAGTGCGGCTCCTGCGGTGACAGGGGACATGGGGACATGGGGGACATGGGGACAGCAGCTTGGCCCGGCTGGCGCTGCTGGCGTAGGGCGACAGGCTCTGCGCCTCGGGCCGCGGCACGTGGCCCCGCGAGTGCGGCTCCTGCGGTGACAGGGGACATGGGGACATCAGCTTGGGGTGGCCCTCAAAGAAAAAGGGCATTTCCTGCATTCAAAATGCCCCTTTTTCCCCATCAAAAAGCCCATTTATTCCCTCTGTGAGTGCAGCTCCTGCCATGGGGACAGTGGCTTGGGGTGGGCCCCAAGGAAAGGGGCATTGCCCCCGCCCAAAAATGCCCTTTTTCCCCGTCTAAAAGGGCACTTGTTCCCCCCCAAAAGCCCATTTATTCCCCCTGCGAGTGCGGCTCCTGCGGGGACAGGGGACATGGGGACATCAGCTTGGGGTGGCCCTCAAAGAAAAAGGGCATTTCCTGCATTCAAAATGCCCCTTTTTCCCCATCAAAAAGCCCATTTATCCCCTCTGTGAGTCCAGCTCCTGCCATGGGGACAGTGGCTTGGGGTGGGCCCCAAGGAAAGGGGCATTGCCCCCGCCCAAAAATGCCCTTTTTCCCCGTCTAAAAGGGCACTTGTTCCCCCCCAAAAGCCCATTTATTCCCCCTGCGAGTGCGGCTCCTGCGGGGACAGGGGACATGGGGACATCAGCTTGGGGTGGCCCTCAAAGAAAAAGGGCATTTCCTGCATTCAAAATGCCCCTTTTTCCCCATCAAAAAGCCCATTTATCCCCTCTGTGAGTCCAGCTCCTGCCATGGGGACAGTGGCTTGGGGTGGGCCCCAAGGAAAGGGGCATTGCCCCCGCCCAAAAATGCCCTTTTTCCCCGTCTAAAAGGGCACTTGTTCCCCCCCAAAAGCCCATTTATTCCCCCTGCGAGTGCGGCTCCTGCGGGGACAGGGGACATGGGGACATCAGCTTGGGGTGGCCCTCAAAGAAAAAGGGCATTTCCTGCATTCAAAATGCCCCTTTTTCCCCATCAAAAAGCCCATTTATCCCCTCTGTGAGTCCAGCTCCTGCCATGGGGACAGTGGCTTGGGGTGGGCCCCAAGGAAAGGGGCATTGCCCCCGCCCAAAAATGCCCTTTTTCCCCGTCTAAAAGGGCACTTGTTCCCCCCCAAAAGCCCATTTATTCCCCCTGCGAGTGCGGCTCCTGCGGGGACAGGGGACATGGGGACATCAGCTTGGGGTGGCCCTCAAAGAAAAAGGGCATTTCCTGCATTCAAAATGCCCCTTTTTCCCCATCAAAAAGCCCATTTATTCCCCCTGCGAGTGCGGCTCCTGCGGGGACAGGGGACATGGGGACATCAGCTTGGGGTGGGCTCCAAGGAAAGGGGCATTGCCCACGCCCAAAAATGCCCTTTTTCCCCGTCTAAAAGGGCACTTGTTCCCCCCCAAAAGCCCATTTATTCCCCCTGCGAGTGCGGCTCCTGCGGTGACAGGGGACATGGGGGGACATGGGGACAGTGGCTTGGGGTGGCCCTCAAAGAAAACGGGCATTTCCTACACTCAAAATGCCCCTTTTCCCCATCTAAAAGGGCACTTGTTCCCCCCAAAATGCCCTTTTATTGCCCCCAAAATGCCCATTTATTCCCCCTAAAAAACCCATTTATTCCCCCTGTGAGTGCGGCCCCTGCCATGGGGACATGGGGACAGTGGCTTGGGGTGGTCCCTCAAGGGAAGGGGCATTGCCCGCACCCAAAATGCCCCTTTTCCCTGTCAAAATGCCCATTTATTCCCCCCAAAAAGCCCACTGCAGCTCCTGCAGTGACAGGGGACACAGGGACATGGGGACATGGGGGGACATGGGGACAGCAGCTTGGGGTGGCCCTCAAAGAAAAAGGGCATTTCCTGCACCCAAAATGCCCCTTTTCCCCGTCTAAAAGGGCATTTATTCCCCCCAAAAAAGCTCATTTATTCCCCCTGTGAGTGCGGCTCCTGCCATGGGGACAGTGCCTTGGGGTGGTCCCCAAGGAAGGGGCATTGCCCACGCCCAAAATGCCCCTTTTCCCTGTCAAAATGCCCATTTATTCCCCCAAAAAAGCCCACTGCAGCTCCTGCAGTGACAGGGAACATGGGGACATGGGGACATGGGGGACCAAGGAAAAGGGCATTGCCCGCACCCAAAATGCCCCTTTTTCGCATCAAAAAGAGCATTTGTTCCCTGCCAAAAGCCTGTTTTTCCCACCAAAATGCCCATTTATTTCTCCCAAAAAAACCCGTCTTCCTCACTGCAGGGCTAGTCCTGCCCCTTCATCAGCCTCCTCC